ATGTATGGATCAATATAATTCTTTTTTTTGTAGATGCATGATGTCTTTACCTATCATTTGGTATATTTTTTTTATAAATCTGACTTTTTACCTGCCTACAGGGGGGGATTCAAAATGACAACTTTTTCACAAAAAATTGACTTTTTCAACTTAAATTTTGAAAGTGTTCCGGAAAGTCTGACACTTTTATATATATCTTAAATTAAAGCTAATGTAATATACTTTATCATGGAAAAAAAAACTTTCGGACTTTATTTTATCTTAAAGGTGAAAATGGCTACCACATGCTATTATTGTGTGAAAATTCTCAATTTTTTTTTTTACATTTTTAACATTATAATGCTATAACTTATTGAAAAGTGTATTGATCAATATAATTTTTTTATGGGAAATACTATTTTCTAATAATCTCTTTTTTATTCGACATACTTTGTCTTAATCAGGATATTAATAAGGAACTAGCAGTTTATGAAGNTATCCTTAGAGGATCTTCTAAGAGTCACACTACAATTTTATATAATACTCTCGATTATGCAATGATATAAGTTTATTAAGTAATCGAAATAAATAAACAATACAACCTGCTAGATACCTAGAGATTATATTAATCCAACAGGGAGTTGACGGCGTCACACACTAGCTAGATAAATGAGTAAATGAATACTATTTATATACCTATTTTATTCGACATACTTTTATTTTTTAATCGGACTATTTTCCTTTATACGGGGGGTTGGGTCTCTTTTATAAAATAGAAAGTTGCTTAACCAGCTACAGACAATTAAAATCATTTTATCTAATATTATAAAAGTATATTTCGATTGCAATGAAATTTTCTTGTAGACCAATGTATTTATTCAAAAGTAAAAAAAAATTGTTTTTATCAAGCCCTTTAATATTTATACATGTTTGCCATAGAAGTAACTAAATATACTACTTTTTCTTTTTTTATTATTTCTCCGTAAAAATTACAATATTAACTTATTAAATATGAATATCATACTCTAATTAATAGCTATAATAAATATTTTTTCATAAATTATACTTTTAAATCTAATAAGGATATAATTATGGAAATAGCAGTTGATGTTGCTTTTATAATTATTTACCAATTTCTTAGAATTAAACACTATTTACAGATTTGCATCGAAACGTATCTTATCACATTGATTAAAATTACTGTCAGATATCATCTATACTTATCCCAACTATTCCACGTCCATACTATATCGCGACCCCACTGTGCAATCGTTTTTTCAATTACATTCAATAGGATATCATAAATTCTATAGTGTGTTTCTAATTTAAAATATTATTTTTTAGAAAAGTTTCTTATATCATCCAATGCTAGCTTACCTGGCGTTTTTAAAATTTTTACACTTCGTTTATTGGAAAATGATTGTTCTATAAACAAAGTTACAAGATTTTTAATTTGATCAGAATTATCTTTTCTTAATTTAAAATTTATAACTTTTCCCTTAATTTTATCATAATTTAAAAACGCTTTTTTTAAGATCACTCAATAAATACTTAATTAAATAGATAACTGTGATAAAATCTAGCATTTTAGATTTAAATATTTTGAAAGAGGTATAACTGAACATTTTAAAATATAAATGAAGTTATAATAATTTTCAAGATGTCTATTTTTCTAATAATAATTTTGTATCTGATGACGTATAAAAATCAATTAATTCATCTGAATCAAAAAAAAATTAGTGACTCTAGTATAACGATATTTCGATCACTAGTTTCATCATTTGACTAAGAACCAAAAATACTTTTTAAGTTGAACATTTCATCATACAGTTTTTGGACCACTCAATGGTCAACGAAGAAACACTAGCACTGATGTAATTGGAACTTGTCGGTTTTCCCATAGTATATAGCATTTTGCTTATCCTCTTTTACTTTAAACAATATTATTATTTTTAGTAATCTAATTTAGAAAATACTATAATTAATGACAACAACCAAAATTAGAAATTTTCGTTCCTGAGTCTAAAGATGTCTAAATCCAGTCATAGTTTATTATTTTAAATAATTGCTCCAGAAAGTCAAGACTTGTCTCGTATAATTTTAATTATGTTGAAAAAGAAAATTATATATTCAATTATTAATAAAAAAATGTTTAAGATTTTCAGAGCACATTCATGCAAGAACTTTTAATCCGTGTCTGCATTATGATTTTATTTTTAATATTTATAAAAAAATTACATGCTTGGACCAAATGCATAATAATTTATTTAAATTTCCCAACAAAGTGAGTTTTATGATATTTATAATTAAAAAATAAATTCAAAAACTTAAGTTTCTATAAATATATTAAAAAAATAAATGTCTGATGTTTGACGCACAATAGGAGACTTGATTCTTAATGGTTATTTAGACTGACACGGCCACGGCGTTGTCACACGTTGACACCCCGCGGTCGTGTCAGCTCCTTCTCAGCCGCCGCTTCACTGTAAACCGGACCGTTACACACACGCGTTATCGTCGTGGTGTAAAGTCCAACAAATGCCTAGCGTCGAATACCCCGTCGCAATAATACGTCCAGTCGTTTTCGTGACACCACCAAACGTACCGTCGTCCGATTCTCGAACCGCTAATAATATACACTTGTCAAAACCATCAACATTTATTTTCATATTGTGAAATCTTGTATCAGTGTTATTTTCTGTTGCGTTTACTTTTATAATCTTAGTCTAATAAACGGCTCGACGCCTTTTCAAATTAACCCGAACTTGTGTCGCCTACCTTATTTTTGTTTTGTGTGCGCGGCACTTAAGTATATACTCTAACAAGACGGATAGTAAATGTAAAAACATAAATTCTAATTAACTCAATATAAATGAATCACTAAATCTAGTGTTTAATTTATATTATTGTTTTGAGTAACTAATAATAATAAAGATTTTACCATTGTTATAGCTTTGATTATTTAATTATTTTTGCTAATATCCATTAGATACCAGAAAGTATTAATTATACTATATGAATGCAATTTTTTCATCCAAATTGACATTTTTTAGTTGTGCTATTTAACTAACAGCAAATATAACAGGAATTAGCTCTTCATTTTATAATTTATCCGGTAATAGGCAGTAACTAGCTTGGTAACTTGTAATTTAAAGTTATTAACTATGGTTAATAACTGACATTATATTTAACTAAAATAACTGTGCACAGTTATTTCAAATAAAAATAATGTCAGTCGAAATTCTAAGTTTACTATAAACGATATTTAAATTAGTAGATCTACAACAAAACAAAACGAAAATAAAAATGACAATGAAACGGACATTTTCACGTAGAATGTCAAAAGCAAATAGTCAAGTTGATTTACTTTGCACCCTATTTAGAAAGCGGAGGTACTCTAATCAAACTGGACTCGCGATGTAACAAAACGGCTGATAAAAGGTGTCCGTGTATTAAGCATATCGCAAAATATACAGTACCGTGTCCATACAGGCCTTCTCAGTTTTTGAACTTTAAATTTAAACTAGTAGATTTGATATCGCTAAAAGTATTAACATTTAAGAATAAATTATTCATTTTAGATCTACACTAAAAAAAATGTCCGATTTTTTACATACGTGTACAGAATGTTTTTAACGCATATGTTGTATGAGAAAATTTTGGTGAATAGTGATGAAAATGTAATATTTTTGTATGAATTTTCGATATTGTAGGATGTCGAAAACTGATGGTCGATCTAGTTAATAGACTTAACATTCTAGTTAAAAAGCCATTGTATGTTCTTATTGTACCTTATAATTACTATTGCTATGTTCATGGAGTTTTATTTCTTTACATCCAAACCTCTGTCAAGAAATATTGCTTCAACTATTTTTTAACTATTATAAGTTTATTTTTCTTAAATTCAATGGACGTTAAAATTAGTATACGGAGAATTTTCTATATTAATATCATTATATAATATCGAGTATACAACTAACATGTAAATATATTTTACGTATATTTTACAAATAACACTATTATTATTAGATAATTAAAGAGAAAAAAAGCCAATATGTCCAATGGAAGAAAACCAACCACAGTTCTTTAAACTTACCCAGAAATGAAAGTAATAATTTAATTAATTCATATTGTATTTATTTATTAGACAAATATTAATTACTGTTGTAGAAAAACAAAGAAAAGTATTTTTAGATGCATTGTTGGAGTTAAATGATAAAGGAGCAAATTTTTCAAACAAATATTTAAGAGATGAAATATTAACTATGATGCTTGGAGTAAAATAATATTATTAAAATCTTTATATATTGTTTAAAAACCCAATTAATGTAATAACCCTATTTTTTTATTAGGGCAGTGAGACTAGTTCTATAACCATTTGTTTTTGTATTTTAATGTTAGCTATCCATCAAGACATACAGGTAATATACAGTTTTATAAATGATCTTCAATGTTTTATAATATTTAAAATTTCATTTCAATTTTACAGGATAAAGTTTATGAAGAAATCTACCAAATAATGGGAGACTGTGATCGAATTTTAACAATTGATGATACGGTTAAGTTTGTATATCTGGAACAATGTATCAAGGAAACTCTTCGATTGTACCCTGTAGCACCAATAATAGTGAGATATCTTCAAGATGATGTCAAAATAAGTAATTTTTCTGAGTGTATCATTAATAACATCTGCTTAAATTCGTGTTGTTTGTTATTAAGGTAACTACACAATTCCAAAAGGCACAACCATAATTATACCACCAATAGCCACCCATCATTTACCAGAATTATACCCAAATCCTTGGGAGTACAACCCAGGCAATTTTGATCCAGAAAAGGTTGCTCAACGACATAAGTGTAGTTTTATTGCGTTTAGTGATGGACCTAGGAAATGTATAGGTACTTATGAGTTATTCATGTCCTCATAGTCTAAATATAACCGTTTAGAATTTTTTAATAATTTAGGGGAAAAGTATGCAATGCTATTTATGAAAGTTCTTCTATCGACATTTTTACGTAACTATAGTGTACATACTAAATGTAAAATGTCTGACATAAAGTTAAAACTCGAATTTATGATGAAAAGCGTTCATGGATATCAAGTAACAATAAGTCCAAGAGACAGAAAACCAATTCACAAAGTAAAATTTAATGAAAAAAATGTTTAACATAATTATAATACATACAATTTTGTTTTAATTTTAATTATTATAATATTTATAATTTTACAATAAAGAGACAAAAAACCAACTAACAAAGTAAAATTAAACGAGAAAAATGTTTAGTGTAATTTTATAATATGCATTGTAACTTATAAAACTTAACATTAAAATCATTATACACCTTATTATTGAAGTTAATTTTTAATAGCTCATAGCAGTTTAAAAAAATAANATTATACACCTTATTATTGAAGTTAATTTTTAATAGCTCATAGCAGTTAAAAAAAATAAATAACCTTTATATTTATGTACTTTGTTTGGAGATGTGTAAGGCACATCAAGGCACATAATACAAGGGGATACATACTATAATTATATATAGTCAGGTATTTAAATCATTCTATTTTGCAAAATTGCAGTTTAATCAATGAACGCAGTAATATGTATTTTTAAATAAAATTATATCTGAAGAATCAATATTATATTTTTGTTCTGTAACAAAACAAAAGTATCGTTCAATATAATTTCACAAAAATAACAATTTAGTTCATATTTTATATGAAATATAATAAATATGTGAAATTGTAAAATAATTTTATTTTTTATTTTAATATCTTTCAAAATTATTTGTGCACTTGAAATAAAGAAAATAAATTACGAAAAGCTCAGAGCTCATTTTAGAATTTTAATGGAATTAAAAATACAACTAACACGATTTTACTTGTCATATATATCACAAAAATTTAAAAAATGTAAAATTTAATTTTACATGATATCTATCTATACAAATTCTAAATTTCCCTGTATTTAAGTTTTTAATTTAATTTTTAAAAAAAATAATGTAAAGTGGTTGACTTAAGTACTGACAATATAAATTTCATTAGGATAAGTGTTTAAAAATAAAAAAGTTATAGCATTTTACAGAGCTGCAAAAATAATTTTGAAAATGTTTTTTTTGTGTAATTGATAGACGTAGTGCTCAAAAAAGAGTTTTAAACGTGTTTAAATTACCAAAAATTTCAATATTCACATTGGACTTACAGGACAATTTAAACTGTTTACTTATGATTTTAACAGGTTTAAGCATTAAAATTGTTAAACACTTAACATCCCTGTTTTTTCAATTTTTGAAATTAGATTATATTCAGAATTGTTTTTGCGCATCAAAATTTCCACAGTGAGAGCTGATAATATATATGGACTAACACAAAAGAACCAATACTTTCTCAGTTTCGAGTCGAAGTTCAAATATTTCGATTCAAAATTTGTTATTTAGATTCTGTCCCAATCCCTTCTCTAAATTCTTAGTTCAAACAAGAGCATTTATTCTGTTTCTCTAGAAAGTTACAAAATTGAATTTGATATCTTCAGTTACAATGTGACATTTGTCAAAAAAAATATTAAAAACATGAATAAAAAAAAACGCCTCACCAAGTCAAATTATATTTTTCTTCAATCCCAGTCAAATCAGTAGATTCTAAAATTCAAAATGATTCTACATTAAAAATGTTTTATAAAAACAGAAAAGCCAATACACTTTATATAGTAGTACAACTAGATAATGAACCAATTCAAGTAACTGTAGACACAGGTGCAACTATTAATGCTATTAAACCTTAAAGTTAATACTTACTTACTTCAAAAATAAACACAATACACAATTATACCTTATCAGGACCTGATAATTCACCATTAAAACTATTGGGCATATACTACTAGATAATAAAATCAAAACCTCCATAATGTATAATAAATTTCCACATTTAATGAATACCTAACCATTAATATAAATATTCATCAAATTTAATAAAGAAAAACGTAATATTTTTTGAAGATAAAATTTCTATTATTCAAACTAGTATAATCTATCTAGTAATTCGAACAATATTTTAGAAACACATCTAGATATTCTAACTCAAATACCAAATATATACTCCATTGCACAATGTACATTCATTCGATTATTGTGCTGCCGCGCAATAATCGCACCATGACACGGCGTATACTTTCCTCGTCGCAAGATCTTCTGTTACAGTGGAGTGAAAGGTTCCTACTGAAAGGCCGGTCTCCTCACTTATAAGGGCGATGGTTGAACGCCAGACTCCAAAACTTTTTTCACCTTAGCCACCTGAGCATCGGTTCGAGCGGTCGTTTGGTATACAACGCGGTGTTCGTCGTCGACCTGGCCTTCCATAAACATTTTGTGCCATGCAAAAACTTTTGTGTCTACATTCACCCCCAATAGTTGTACGTCAAACGGACGATGTCACTCGACGCGTCGTCGTCGGAGGAGGAGGGTATTAGTCATAGGTCGCGTAACCGCCCTGATGACGGTGTAGAGTGACGGCGTTAACCGCGACAAACGATTTACGTCATAATAACGTTCATACTGTAGATTCATGTGTCTCACTCTCGCTTTTCCTACAATAATGACGCACAATTTAGGTTTCCCTACTTGTTATCATAATTTATTGTGTGGAAATTATTAAACGTTTAAATGAAATAAACCACAAATTTGATATTAATCATCGATTTGATGAAAACATGAGTGAACAATAGTAATTAATAATAATATATGTTATAAATTGTGGCGGTAGATGACCATAAACCATTATTTCGACAATGTCGATTGTTTTTTGTTGTGATACTGCAACGATGGGACAACTCACATATGATGTAAATACTACTTACTAATGAAGTTAGACACGCAATCGTATTACATTATATACTACAAGAATAATTGTAATGATGGTTTCATTTATGTTTTATACAACTATATACATGAGCAGGGTAAAAAAGGGATAGCTGTAGCCCCCGTCTCATCCATTTACTGTCCGACGGGTTGGGTAGGGGAAAGGTGTGGCCAAATGAGATGCTAAATGATTTTCTAAGAATTTAACATAGGCTACCAGACGCTTAGGTAAGCATATTTTCAACATCAAAGGTATCACCGTACAATAACGATGACTGTCGTATGTCACTGTCACCCACACTCGTGTTGATATATACAGAGTATTAAAAAAAAAAAGTAGGCTGTGCGACTGTAAAAATGACATAAAATAGTAAACATCAGTTAGGAAATAAAATTTGTGTTATGTTAGATTAAAATGAATTAGACAGCAATATTGGGTAATATATGGTTTAACTATAACTGACTACACATTAACAGTACATTTGAAATTACTATCTAGACCACCCTCGTTGTCATTTACGGTGTAACCACTTAACATACATAACATTTGTTATACTATCGTTTTAACTTAAAACTACAGTTTTTATTTAAAATACAATCCATGTGAAACATTTTAAAATAATAAGTGTATGATAAAAGAATAACAACATAAATATCACAATGTTACAATACGCCACATATCATACATAATGATAGTCTAAATTATAATCACAAAACTTCAGTATAATAACAATATCAATTTCAATACAATACAAAACTAAGTAACAACGTTCATTTATATATTAAGTCTTTCTTTATCTCTATCCTGTAATTCACCTGTAATTTTTATCCTGTTTCCAGGTAACTTAGTATTGCGAGATAACTTAATGTTAACAACTTTTTGTCTTTTAACCTATGGAATCTTAGTTGATTTTAAATTACTATAAAATACAAATAATTACTAATTTTATTTTTAATTACATCAGGTAACCATTTAATTATTTCTTTAAAATAGTTTCTATAATATACCATCTCTCCTTTAAATATTTCTACTTGGTCTTTATTATTAAAAATAATACTTATTTTTTATTTTTTATTTTTTAAATCAAATTTCGCCTTTTTTCTTTTTTATATCTGTAATCTTAGGATTTTACGCACTTGCTGTGGTTTTGATTTTAGATGACAACCCAACCGCCTGTAATAAAAAAAATAATAAAACGAAAAATAGTTGAAAAGAATAATTTTGAATAATTACACACACACACACACACCTGGAATTTGGGTTGCGAAAGGTAATTTCTTTATTATAGTATTTAATATTCCTGCACATCGTTTTCCACGTTGTCTCTGATTTCATATTCACGGTTATTATTCAATAATATGTGAGGCGTTTCAAAAAAAGAGTGCTTCACGCTACTTATCGTGAATTTTGAGAAAAGTAATGATGTCGCACCCAGTAAACACGGTAAACTGATGTCAAATAACATACGTGCATTGATTTGCAGACCATCAAATTGTGGAAAAACAAACTTGATTTTACTCTACTGACCGATATCAAAGGACTTCGTTTTGAAAATGTTTACGTTTACTCGAAATCGTTGCACATGTCAAAGTATTAACTGCTCAAGGAAATTTTATGTGATGTCAGTTCAAAGGAATATTTAAACATATGTAGTGTTGCCATGATTATATAAATTGCACACTTTAAATTATATAATGAACAAGTCAGTAATTAATTTTTATAATTATAAATAACTATTTGATAAGGTTCTGTTTTTGATAAAAGATATATAAAAAAATTAATTCTTGTGTTAAATAAATTATTACTAAAAAAATTTAATTAAACATAAATTATACTCTAGGTTAATGATCAATTTACAATAGTAAAAAAATTATTTCAACTTTAAGTATAATTTTTTGAACGTTAAAATACAATTATTAAAATAAGTAGTCGTAATTGCATTTAAATTCTGAAATAATAAAATTTTAATTATATTCTTATAACATGGATAGAACATTTCAGTTCATCATTTACCGTCGATTTTCCAATTCATTTGACCTATCATGCAATATTTCATATAAAATTTAACTATAATTTTATTATTTATTATTTTTTATTTAGTACAGTTTGTTGAATAGAATGTGTTTTGCTAAACATCTAATAATAAAAAAACCTGTACAGTCATTATTATTATTATATATTGTTGACAAAAAAATACTGATTTATTATTCACTATGCGAATAATGGTTAAACGTAGATTATTAACTCGTATATCAACAATTATCATCCGATATAATTAACGGCGACATCACTACCGCGTTAAGCCATTTGCTGTATTCATCTCAAGTGCAATAATATAAAAATATATAGTCATCTATAAAGGCATCTGGTATAATGATTGTTTTGAACAGATGATCGTTTTTTACAAATTAGGTAAAATTAACATTTGACGTGCAGTTTTTATCTAAATATATGCATGTTGCATATCACAATAGTTGATTCGACGTTTAAAA